ATTTAAAATGTTATATTTGAAATTTGGACAGTATCATATATTAACGTTTTCATTAGTTCACATACTTTTTGGTGCAGATCTTCATTTATTGGATTTTTTTAAGGTTTTGTAATACAAAATTTTTCTCCTTTTTAAAAAATTATTTAAAGAAAAAAAAACAAAACAGTTAAAGGGTACAAGTAATAAAGAATTTCAAAAACATAAAGTAAGAAATCACTAGTTAATAGATTACATATTGTCATCTTAGAAATAGTTGTTCAAATTACAAAACTAAAGCATATAAAGTGCACATTCAAACAGTGAGACTGCAAACAGTTCTGTTCAGTGATCCAACAAAAACTTAGTAATATGGTCATCTATCTTAACACATCTAAACACACTTGCAGTTGTATCATTTAGATCACTTTCTTTTCCTCTCTTTTTTACAATAACATTTATACATTTTGGGTTTTATTACTTCCACAGTTCTTATTGCTTCTTTGGAAGAGAATAAAACCAAATGTGACAAAACAAAGCAGTCAGTCAAAACAAAGGATGGACATAGTATATGATGTAAAAACAGAATACAAGGTAATCAACAATGGTTACCATAATGCCTTTTGGTATCTTAAAAAGAATTGCCAATATCATCAGGTATAATAAAATTGAACAAAGCAGTACAAAATAAACCAATAAAACCTAAACATTGGAGACATTACAGGACTGCAAAAGAAAATAATATTCAAACCAGAATGTGCATCATAGTGAATCTTATTGTCTTCAAAATAGTTGCGTATACCCTCAAACTTGATACTGTCAAACAGAACAGAATAGTGTAAAATCAGAGAAAACAAGATGGTGAGAGCAATACAGAGCTTCAAATCAACTTAATAGGAAATCAAAATGGTTACTATAATATATCCTTCTTTTTTATTTTTCCCTTAATTGAAAAAATAAAAATAAAATAATAAATAATATAAAAGGAGACTAAGGTAAAAGAAGACATAACAACACAACAGCACAGGTCAAATTTTTCTCCTTTATGAGATACTAATTTGTTCTCATACAGTCAATTCCTTTTTATTTTAAAAATAAAACAAAAATTAAAATAATACAGAATTTCAAAGATAGGAAATTAATGCCAGTTATTGTATTGCATATTGTTATCTTGGAAGTAGTTCTTCGTGTTTCAATTCTTTTTTTCTTGCTATTTTAGTGAATATTTATTTGACCTCTTTGAGACTTCAGAATCACTTTAAATAAGTTTTATGATAACATGAAATGCTTTTGATTCCCATCTTCTTAGCAATACTTACCCAAAAATTACACTACCATGAAAAAAATCAGTCAAAAAGTTCAGGTTTAAAGATTTTGGTCCTATTCCAGGAGAGACTTACATTAGTCATATGTTTAACTCAAATTTTGACATGATCAAGCACTGAAAACAGCCACAACCACCAGCACAACTCTCATAATCATAACAACAAAACCTTTTGGATAGAGACTCAAGTTTTCCTGGAGGGTAATGTTCCAAATAATGACACACAATGAAGACTGGGGGAATTTCGCGTTATGATTTCACTGGAGGACAAGTGAGAAATTTGCTTTGAGTTCTCTTGCACCCATCCATTTAGATATTAATTGGTCTTACCTTTCTGAAGCCAGATAAACTGAATTTAATATTATATGCATGAAGACAATACAAATGAAACTTCACCCCGCATTATGCATAGGAAATCACATCCTATAAATTGGAAGGCTTCTACTAGCTTTCTTATCACAAATCTCTAAACCTGTGTTGCAGTAGTTTCCTGTGAAATTCTTCCCTGGAAGGAGGTGAACTTGTACACCTCCCCTCCATGCACTCTCAGAGTGGTTCATTTCCATTATGTGAGACCTAAGTTTTGCACTAAAAGGATTTCTTTTGATTTTCTTTTGTTACCTCTTTAGCTGTAGAATACTAATTGTGTACTTTTCTGTGATGTGGTGCTATCTGTTAAAATGTTCATATTATCCAGTGAGCAAACCAACCAGATTATAATATTCAGCATTTCTTGTCCTGTTCCACATGTATGAATGTGGAAAAAGATTTTGGTTTAGTTACATTCAAGTGATAGTATTAACAGAAAATATTATTCATAAACCCCCTGAAAATATAAAATCCTCTATACATTTGAAAAAGCATATTTTATTTCTCCTTGTAGAGATTTTAAGACATTTACATTATCTATTTGTATTATCTATTAATGTTTGTAATGGCTCATTTAGGATAATTCTTTGTTCAAACTTTTTTTGCATATGTACAGCACGATTGTGAGAATTTTGTAGAAAACACATTTTACTTGTAGTGCATGTATTTACTTTCTATCAAGAAATTAACAGATGAGTACAATGTATTTTTCAGTGGAAGGAGTTAAAACCCAATCCTTCATGCTAGCTAGATAACTGACTTTCTCTCTGTCTGTCTTTCCATCTTCTTTCTTTTATTCTTCTTTCTTTCTTTCTTTCATTCTTTCTTTTTTTTTTTGGACCTTTACTTACTGAGTGTTAACCTATTCCAGCTGGATGTGAATTTACAATCATCTTTCTTCAGACCCCCATTGATGAGCTAGCATTACAGGTATGTAGCATTGCATCCAATTGTGTTTTGACATTTTAAAATTATGTGACCTGTAACTCCATCCAGACACTATCTATTAGACATTTTGTTACAGGTCTGTGGAGCACCATAGCAGTGTTGCATAATTTCACCTTCATTTTTTAAACTTCAGTCACTTGGATAATTTTTAAGTCAAGATTTTTAAAAAGATTTTTTATTTCATTTTTAATTTCACCAGAAAATGCTTCTTGTACATTGTGATTAGATTCATTTTGGGAAATGGTGCATGTACATAACACATCTCACTTCTTTTACTTCCCCACCCCAAATGTTTTTGTTGTTATAGTTGTTGCTGTGGTTGTTTGCCAGTAGGAGATTTTTTCCAGTAAACCTTTTTTATTCTAAGTTCATATAAAGTTAGTTTTCACATTTACCAATTAAAAACCAGGCAAATAGGACAAAAAGATATAAAACATCCATAAGATAATTATATTCAAAAGGATTATATATATATATATATATATATATATATATATATATAGTCTGTGCTGTATTGCAATAGATATATTTGTCTATTTTTCTATTTATTTATTTATTTTTGGCACCAGAGATCAAACTCACCACCTTGTGCTTGCCTGGCAAATGCTTAGGTGACTGAGCTAAATTTGGCCCTCTATTTTTCGTTTTGTATTTTATTTCAAATTATCTACATATTGAATTCATTTTTATATAACAGAAATCATGTGATTTTAATGCCATGTGTTCTGATTTACTGAAGTTATTATCATGGTTTAAAGGTACATTCATTTTCCAATATTTAGGTAATTATGAATTACCTGATGGTCGATATGAGTATAAGGTGTCTTTAAATCTTTGGGAGAAAGTACTGATTAGGAGAGCAGTTTAGTCAGATGGAAAATCAAATTTTAATTTTGAGGAATCTACATACTGTTTTCATAATGATCGTACCAGTTTACACTCCCAACCATTTAGTGAGGTTCATGTTTCTCCATAAGTTGCAAGAATGTGTTTGCTTTCTTGATGTTAGCCATTCTTTCTAGAGCATCATGGAATTTCAGTGATTTTTAAACTGCATTTCTCAAGTGGACAGTGATATTGAGGGCTATTTAGTGTATTTATTGCCTATTTGTATTTCTTCATCTGAGAAGTGTATATTTATTTTTATTATCTAATTTTGGATTGAGTCTTTTAAATTTGAAGGATATTTTTGAGTAATCAACATAGTCTGTGTATTAGTCCTTTGAAGAGTAGCTGATAAAAATTTTCCCAATTCTCTAGATTGTCTTTTCATTTTGTTGGTGGTTCACTTTACAATGCAGAGCTTTGAATTTTGATATAATCCAATTTGTTGCTTCTTGGTAATATTTCTTGTACAACTTTGGATTTGCTCAGAAAGTCTTTGTGCACACCCACATCTTCAAGTGCTTTATTTCTTTTCTCTTACAAGAGATTGTTTCTCTCCTAATATTGATATATTTGTGTCGTTTCCTTTATATGTTAGTATACAGTGAGTGACATGAGGGTAGATTCAACTATTACCATGTATGGAGTTATTTTTCCCAAAATCAGTTATTAAAGAGGCTATATTGTTTCCTTTTTTATGTTTTTCTTTCTTTCTCCCGTTGTTTTTTGCTTTCTTTGTTTAATTTGTACCAGTCGTTGAATTCACAGCATTGTGCTTGCCAAGCCGGAACCTGTGCTACTGAGATAAATCCCTGGCAAGAGACTGTATTTCATCAAGAGAAGGAGTTTAATCTCTGACAAAGATACCACAGCTGAGTGATCCTCAACCTTTTTCTGCATCTTCTCTTCTGTTTCATTAATATTTAAGTCTGGTTTTGCCCATACAAGGCTGTTTATCACTGGAGTTTTGTGGTATAAATTGTATACCACAGGGGGTGAGATGGCCACATCCTTGTCCTTGTTGCTCTGGATTGCAAGTGCCAAACATGGATGCGGCAGAAATTTTGTCAACTCAAAATCAGCCTTTTTCTGCACAATAATCATCCTAAAGACATGGCTCTTGATGTGCCACAGGTTTTTCATTTAACATTATTTCACTCTTTCTTGGTATTTCTGATTACTTATGTATCAGTGTCATAACATGGATTTTTTAATTATGTGCTGTTTAACTATAAAATCTAAGACTTCATGAGGGCCATTTCTTCCAAATATTGAATTACCTCCCTTGTTATTTAACCTTATTTTGGACTTTGCCTGAATTCTGCCTAGTTTATAATATCATGCTATCAACTATTAACCATGTTATTAAAACAATAATTATTCATGTTATTAAAACAATATTATTAAAACAATAATTATAATTTAACAGCTATGGCTCAGAAAATAAAAATCTTCACCTTTTAGCTTATCAGTTACATTCAATCCAATGAATACTCCAATGAACTGCTCAATGAAGCAATTGTCCTGAAGTCTTCCAAGATGGTTACATTAGCAATTCAAAATCCTCCCTTCAATTCTCTTCTAAGCTTAATTACATCCCAAAAATGAAACCACTAACAATGTCACATTAAATGCTTCAGTTCATATAATATGGATTTGTGGGAGGAACATGAGCATTTAGTTCATAAGTGATATTGTACTGGATAGCAAAATTTTTCTGCCTACCTTATAAAATTGTACTAACAACTGAGTATTTAAAACAATAATTATTCATATTTAACAGCTATGAATCAGGAAATACAAATCATTTGACATCTAGCTTGTCAGTTACATTCAATCCAGTGAATAGTCATTCAATTGGTCAATGAAGCAATTGTTCTGAAATCTTGAGGCAGGTACCTTAGTAATTTGAAATCTTTACCCGAATTCTCTTCTAACCTTAATTACATGCCAAAGGTGAAACCATTAACAATCTCACATTTATGCCTCAGTTCATATACCATGAATATGCTGGAGAAACATGAGCATTCAGTTCATAAATGCTATTTTATTGAACTGCAATATAACCATAGGTTAAATCTCCTTACTACAAAGATCTCTGCACTCTTTATGCAGGCATTTGCCCAACAGTTACCAGAATGTTCTAGCATTCATATTTGCTATAGAAGAAATCAACAAGAATCCTCATCTTTTACCCAACATATCTCTGGGTTATGAGTTCCATAATTACCTGTACAGTCACTGGAGGGTGTTGGAGAGTTCCCTCACTTTGCTCACAGGACAGAAAGACATCCCTAATTACTCCTGTAGGAGAGAGAATAGGTCTGTCGCAGTGTTAACAGGAAATTCGTGGGCAACATCTACTCAAGTTGGAACCCTGCTGGAGCTCTACAAGTTTCCACAGGTGAGGATGAGTGAGACAGGGAAAGATTAAACCACATCTTAGTTGGTGACATTCTTTGGTGCTTAAAGAGACTGGAAAAAGAATCTTGGTTAAAATACACCTTTACGAGTGTGTGATTTCAATGCACAAATATAAAGACACTGTGGAATTCTTATACTTTTCTTGCCTACAGCAAAAACAGAGAAAAGAAATCAAAAGTATTTCCTAAGATTTTTGTTGATCAGTTATTTTCTAAAAAGTTTTTCCAAAGGGATATATTTGAAACTGGATGAATGCTATGTCCTTCTATATCTTCCTGCTGTTATTTATTCTCTAGGCCTGAGGTTGTACTTTATGTCAGCCCTCTTACTGATATTACTTCCAATTTTCTTTTCTTGTAGGTTACATTTGGGTCTTTTGATCCTGTGCTAAGAGACAATGGACAGTTTCCTTCTTTATATCAGGCAGCTCCCAGGGACACATCTCTGGCCCTTGCTATGGTTTCCTTGCTGCTTCATTTCAGATGGACCTGGGTGGGACTGGTCATCACAGAGGGTCACAAAGGACTTCAGTTTATGTCTGATTTGACAGGAGAGATGGACAGGAACAAAGTCTGTGTAGCATTTGTGAAAATAGCATCAACTCCTATTGTATCGTATATGGCACTATCAAAGGAATATGTTATTCTGACCAAAGAAACATCACAAGTGAGTGTGGTGATCCTTTACTATGACACCGATATTTTAAGTGATGTAGACTATAACATAGAGCAACACTTACTTACTGGGAAAATCTGGGTGACAAACTCACAATGGCATGCTGACATGACAGGGAAAAATTTCATCCTTAATTCATTCCATGGGACTTTCATTTTTTCCAACCACCATGAAGAAATTTCTGGTTTCAAAACCTTTGTCCAAGAAGTCAACCCTTCCAAATACCCAGAAGACTTTTATCTTACTATGTTCTGGTTCAATAATTTCCACTGTTCATTCTCTGATGCTGACTGTTCACTGAAAGACTGCACACCCAATGCCTCTCTGGCATGGCTGCCTGTGAATCACTTTGACACAACTATGACTGATTGGAGTCACAATGTGTACAATGCTGTGTATGCTGTGGCCCATGCCCTCCATGAGATGCTCCATCAACAAGCACAATGGCCTCCACTAGGAAAGAAAGAAGTGATGGTGTCTTCCCCCTGGCAGGTGAATTATCTTTTTATTCATTTATTTAATATTTATTGTAATTGTTTGCAATATAATCAAGGTGCCTTAAGTTATTACATTTGTTTTGCATCACAGGAGTTAAAATACTTCATTCAAAAGTACAAGTAGCTATATACCAGTTCGTTATTAAGGAGTTAAATCTTCAGTTCAGTGGAAATGGTGATGTGGTGAAAGAGCCCTGATATTGAAAAACTCAATGTAAGACAAGTTCCTTACTTTTCTCTCAATTATGCCAATGGGCAAACAGATAATATATTTATTATAAACTCCAAATATTTTATAAACTCAAGAGGCAACAGAAGACCTTGTCATTCATGAATTTAAACAGTGCTAACATCTAGATATATTAATTTAACTAGTTATATTAAATTTATCACTTCATGCTCTATTCTTTTTTCTTAGTAATTTCTTTTTACCAATTTTTTATTTAAAGAGAGAAGGAAAAGAAAATTTAAAAACCAAAATAGAAAGAGGAAAAATTTAGAATAATACAGAATTTAAAAAAATAACATCATAAAATCACTGGTTGATGCATTACATATTGTCATTCTAAAAATAGTTATTAAAGTTACAAAATTAAAGCATAAAAAGTGGTTATCCATTCAAACATTGACAGTGCAAACCCTTCTGTTCAATGATCTAAAAGAAATTTAGTAATATGGTCATCTATCTTATACACTACACATTCCATTTTTTCCTTTAGAACACTTTTCTTCCCTTTCATTTTACAATATCTATTATAAATTTTGGATCCCATCATTCTGTCCATTTTTATTATTTTTTACACTAGAGAGGCAATGCAACATTTACCAATATGAATCTTCATTATTTCACTAATGAGGATATTCTCAATTTGCCTTCATTTATCTATAAAGGCCTCAATATCGTCATCTTTTATAGCTGAGTAGTATTACATTGTATAAAAATACCACAGTTTTTTTTCATCCACTCTGCAGTTATGGCCATTTTAGTTGTTTCCAAGATTTAGCAATCACAAATTGTGCTCCTATGAACATGGGAGCACATATATCACCGTGATATGGCCTCAGTTTTTCAGGGAAAATGCTCAGGAATGGAATAGCTGGACTGAATGAAACTTCCAATCCTAGTTTTTTGAGGAATCTCCATACTGCTTTCCACAGTGGTTGCACAATTGTGCACTCCCACCAAAACTGAAGAAGTGTTCCTTTTTCCCTGTATCCACGCCAATATTTATTATCAGTTGACTTCTTGATGGTGGCCATTCTTTTCTTGATGAGATGAAATCTCAATACTATTTTAATTTGCATTTTGTGAATCAACAGTGATTGTGAACATTTCTTCATATATTTATTTGCCATTTGTGTATGTTCATCTGAGAACTGTCTATTCATCTCCAATGCCCTTTTTTGGAGAAGATCTTTGAATCCTGTTCAATCAAATAATGCTGATTTTATCACTGAGGCTTTGTAGTATATTTTCAAGTCAGGAATTGAGATGCTTCCTGTCTTGCCCTTGTTGCTCAGAATCACATTTGCTATTCTATATTTCTTCTGTTTCCAAATGAATTTTAAAAGTATTTTCTCTGGATTGGTAAGTACGTTAATGATATTTTGATTGGGAATGCATTGAATCTGTGTAACAGTTTTGGGAGTAAAGCCATTTTCACAATGTTAATTCTTCCTAACAAAGAGCAAAGAATATCCTTTCATTCTCTAATATTCTCTTCAATCTTTTTTTAGAATAGTATAATTTTCAACATATAGATATTTTGCATTGTAAGTTAGGTTGATTCCTATGTATTTAATTTTTTAGATGATATTGTGAAAGTTAATATTTCCATAATTTGTCTCCATGGAGTTTGTGTGTTTGTTTTTTGAGTGGTGACTTTGTATCCACCTATGCTGCTGTTTTTGTTTATTACCTGTAGTAGTCTTTTAATGGAGTTTTTGGGGTCTTCTATGTAGAGTATCATGTCATCTTGCAAATAATGATAATTTAACTTCTTCTCTTCTTATTTTTATTCCTTTTATTTCTGCCTATTGTCTGATTGCTCTGGTTAATATTTCCAGAACTATGTTGAACAGGAGTGGTGATAGTGGGAATCCTTGTCTTATTCCTGATTTTAGAGTGAAGGCTTTTAGTTTTTGTTCATCTACTGTAACGTTGGCTGTTGATTTGTCATAGATGTCCTTTATGAGATTGAGGTACTTACTATTTATTCTGATTTTCTGTAGTTTTTATCATGAAAAGGTGTTAGACTTTATTGAAAACTTTTTCTGTGTCTATTGTGATAATCATATAATATTTATTTTTGGCTCTGTTGGTGTGGTGTTTTAGACATTGGTTTGGATATGTTGAACCATTCCTGCATTCGTGGAATAAACCCCACTTCATCATGATGTATAATCTTCTTGATGATTTGCTGCATTATATTTGCCAATATTCTATTGAGAATCTTTGCATCAATGTTCATAATTGAGATTGGTCTATAGTTATACTTTTTGTTGCGTCTTTCCCTGGTTTTGCTATCAGAGTGACACTTGCCTTCAAGACTGAGTTAGAGAAGACTGCTTCACTTTCAGTTTCATTGAAGAGTTTAAGGACTATTGGTTTTAAATCATCTCTAAATTTCTCATAGAATTCATCTGTAAATCCATCAGGACCTGGGCTTTTCTTTGTTGGTGCTTTTAAAATCACATCTTCAATTTCAGTAGTTGATATTGGGTCATTCTAAGTTGCTATATCTTCTTGATTGAGCTTTGGTAGTTTGTATGTTTCCAGAAATCTGTCCGTTTCCTAATTTCCTTTTGGGTAAATATTTGGTCTTTCAAACTCAACTGTCTCAACTGTCCAGAGTGTGAATTTTAGGGTCCTGCTGTGTGGCTGGTGTTTGACTAATTGCTTTGAACCACAATGAAGAGGAGAGCCAGTCACCTGAATTCCTTCTGTAGGGCCTATGGGTAAGTCCTATATTCTTCCTGGGCTAACTAGCCTAAAAGTATTGATTTAGGTCAACACTTAGTTCCTGCTTTTTCTATGTCTTCAGGTTGTTGCAGGTCACCAGATCTCCCTGTCTATAGGCCCTACTGTGTCATGGGGTGTCTCATAAGCTCTTTGAATTTTCTCCAAGTTGGGGGAGATGTTATTTATACACTCCTTAATCTGCCTGATGTCCTCTGTGTGGAGAAGGGGATTACTCACTCTCTTGCCAGGTTCTCTAAGGTCTTACAGCTGAAGTGAGCTTCACTTCTGCTCCTATTTACCCACTGCAGACCTCTATTTTAGGTACAAGTTCACCATACTGACTGGACATTGCTGAGGTCTTCTGTTTGGGTGAGGGGTTCCTGAGTCTCCCATCCAAACAGCATGGTAATCCACTGTAGTCCAAGGTTCTGGAAGATGTTGGATCCAAATATCAATTGCAGTACTAGGTCCATGAGGTGGGGTAGCTCTCCAAGGGGCATCCCAGGTGTGCTGGGCCACTGGGGGAACATATGGCAGCATCCTAAAGTGGGGACATCCCTGGTGTTCTGGGCCAAAGGCATGGGCCTGTGGCAGTGGTCCAAGTTGACTCAATTGTTCCAGAGGTGGCCCAGGTGTTCCAGGTGGAGCGGTGGGCCTGTGGTGTTGGTCCTAGGCAACCCAGGCATGCAGGCCAAGGGGTGGGCCTGCAGTGGCAGTTGTGCTGGAGGGCTCCCAGGTGTTCTGGGCCGAGGAATTCGCCCCAGTAATAATTTCATTTACAATCACATGTAGGGGGATCATAGAAAAAATTAATAAAACATCTCATACTAATTGTTCTAACACCCATAAAAATTTTAAATATGGTTGGAAATTTTTCCCCTAAGGTTGGTTGACTGATGTTTTATGAAATGTGTGATATTTTCTGTTTCAAAAGACTTCATTTTTCCTTATTAAATACTAGTGTAAATATTGCTTGTGAAATAAAGATTGAGCATTATCTAATTCATTTTTCTCTTAAATATGAAGCCATTTTCACAAGATTATGATGTCTCTTTTAGCTTCACTCCTTTCTGAAGAATACTCAGTTTAACAATCCTGCTGGAGACCATGTAAGTCTGAATGACAGAAGAAAAGAGGATATAAACTACGATATTCTAAACTTTTGGAATTTTCCAGAAGGTCTTAGACTTAAAGTCAAATTGGGAACATTTACTCCACATGTTCCACATGGCCAACAATTGTCTTTATCTGATGAAAAGATCGAGTGGGCCACAGAAAATGCAGAGGTACATTAGACATAATAATAAATTTTTAGTAACAAGTAACCAATAAAATATTGCTGTAGACTTTCTATACCAAATTTTGCTCATGAAGTGGGAAATTATGGTAATTAAAAATCATAATTTTCAATTTTATCAAATTTCTAATTAACTTTACAACAATAGGAAAGGAACACATTTACTTAGCTATAAATTGTAATTATTTGTGTTTCATGTTGCTAAATATGGCATATATACACTCACGTACACACACATACATATAATATTATTTATGTATATATAGAATTTATGTTATTCTCAAGCTCTGAAGGAGAGGAAAAATTCCAAAAATTCACCAACATATATTTTTCCTCAGATGCCTCTCTCTGTGTGCAGTGATAGTTGTCATCCTGGATTCAGGAAATCCTCTCAAGAGGGAAAACCTGCCTGTTGTTTTGATTGCATCCCTTGTCCAGAGAATGAGATCACCAATGACACTGGTGAGCATGTATCTTATGTAGAAATTCTCCATGTTCATTTGCATTCTCCTCATGCATCCAGGAAATGGAAAAAAAATCTTGTACAGGACAATGATTACAAAATTCTTTCTTTCATAACATGAAATTTACTTCTTCAAATCAGCACTGTTATCTCTTTAAAGACATATTCTCTGTCCCTTGCACGATACATACACATAGATTCCCTTCCTATTTTCTTTTTTATACTCTTTTCCTTTTTATATTAGTGAAGTTTCAAAGAAGAGGTGCTTTCACTCTGAGCTGTATCTCCATGTCTTTTCATTTGTTATTTTGAGAAAAAGTTTGTGAATTTTCTCCAGCTTGTCTCAGGTTACCAAGTAGATCACATTAAGGCACACAAATGTTGTGCTTTGTAGGCTGAGAAGATATTTTTCTCTCTAGAACCCCTTTCTCCCTCTCCTTACTCTCTGAGTTGCATCCTCACCATAAAGCTTAACACATGCCATTATTAAACAACAGCTATGCACATGACACCACATTTTCTTTACACTGGAGATGAAGATCCACCATATCCTTATTCTGCAGGACATAGCACTGCTTTTGTTAGTAATCAGGTGCTCAGTGAGATTGTTTGACATTAGGAGAGTTATCTTTGGTATACAACATACATAGAATAGTATAACTATGTTATCCTAGCATAGTATAACATAACTTACCAGCATGGTCTCCCTGCTGTCCCTAAAGTTACATGTCAATAAGGCACATCACACACATCATGAATCATAGATCTGCCACAGATCTGGAGGGTGATATGCATTTAATCCTAGGGATTTAACAGATGATTGTATCTATAGTTGAGGGAAAATTCCAGACATTTTCACAGAGGTTGTAGCATTAATATTTGTTCTAGGTTTTCACAAATTACGCCCCAAGTGGTCAAGTGTACTGAGTACCTTTGGATCATGCCAGTGCTATAGTCAAGATTTAACTCAGTGATGATCCAAAGCTTAAAGTGGTGTTAGGAGGGGTTCTGATCACAAGAGATGGTTCTCTGTGCATGTGAACTGGATGAGCACCTACATTATAGACTACTCCCTCCCTCCTCCTCTTTTTTTTCCTCTGTCTCTGTCTTTGTCTGTCTGTCTCTCTGTCTGTCTGTCTCTCTCCCTCTGTCTCTCTGTTTCTCTGCTTTGCATTCCAACAGGTATCCTGCCCTGATCTTTCTTCCATGCCTTTTGGCCACTGAAGATGGACTGAAAACCTGAGCCAAAATAAAACTGTACTAAATTTTGCATGTTGGGTGTTCCGTGCTAGAGATGAGGAATTGATGCATTCAGTACTAAATCTAAAAGTTGAGTGGCATAAATTCCTATTTGGAATAGTAGAAGTAGTGTAAAAGAACAGTTTTTGTTTGTGTAACATTTAACATCTGAGAGTGTAATTCTGTGACCTTAAAACACAGAAACTATGAAGGTGAATATTGAAAGACTGTATAGAAAATTCATACAGTTCCAATAATGAAAAATTTTACATACGTATGACTTTTTAAAGAGGTGAAATGATGCTAAATCATTATCTGGTAGAATTACTCTTCTAACGATATTCTCTAGCTTGATTTAATGGCTGACACGTGTATTGATTTTCCAACTAATTAACATATTATTACAATTATTATAGTTTGACATATGCTATGTAGTATATTGACTGATGACATATTTTATAGTATACCATATTCTATATACAGTGTGCAATGTCCACATAGTATAATTTGGGTTCATATTCTTTGTGAAGTTTGAAGATTTGGTACTTTTCTTTCATTTTTTTCATGGAAATACAGAGAACCACGTGTTCAACAATATAAATTTGTATATACTTCTGGGTTATGATTAACAATTTTCAATAATTTATTTAATATATAATAGATTCAAATACAAATTAACAATATCTGTACTTAAATATATGGCATTAAATCTTGTGAATCAAAGCTAAGACTGTTAGGGATGAATGCATATTTTATATTATATATATTTGCATTTTAATCTGAATATAGCACATTGATATCCAATAGTTCATAAAAATAATGAGAAGAAACTATGAAATAAAAATAATTGCCATAAGAATTCAAAATAAAAAACAAACAAAAATTTACCACCAATGAACAAACTAACACATTCAATCACAAATCATACTGATTTGCTTATATCCCTTCACAGAAAGTGAAAAGTGAGACAATCTTTTATGTTAAAAGGGAAGCTAAAGAGAATGCAGTAATTATACACAAGCCAGTCATACGCTGACACAAAGAAAGGTAAACTTGAGTTTGTAGGAAAATGAATGCAGCTTGAGATTATAAATTTGTCAAGTAAATTTGACACATGAACATAAAAATTATGCAATTTCATTCATATAAAAACTCAATATACAAATAAAAATAATGAATAAGAAAAAGTTATATAATGTTATTTTATATTGGGTAGCTAATATATCAAAAAGTGTTCCTTGATTTAATATAATTGTGTATGTTTTATATGTTTGTGGCCTGTTAGTCTGGCTGTCAATATTCATAAACTACAATTAACTCTATAAGTTTTTATGAGATAACTGAATAATACATCAGATAATGGTACAATAAAAGGAGATTGAAGAGGGGAAAAGCAAGAAGTTACATCTATATGAATTCCCCACAGTGAATATATGTAACACACTCTAAATATGTACCCTGTATTATTTTTAAAAATGGAGAAAAGCTACATTATGTTTCTCACAACTTATGATGTTACTGTAAGAATCTAAGTCTATGGGGTTCTTTTCTTGGTGCAATACATTTGCATATTCTATTTCAAGATGGGTCTTTATTCCAAGGAGAGAATCCATGATCAAAGTCAGTCTATGAAATATAATTTAGTATATTGCTTCTGTGAAAAGAGAAATTATATAAATGAATGAAGAAAATATAACAAAGTTGAAATACATTCCATGGTTTTCAACTACGTGTAAACATTTACTAAATTAAGAAGATAAATATATAGTTGGAGAGGTTTGCCATAAATATTCACAATTCATATTTTGTTAAAATATAGAACTATCAATAAAGAAGCAATATCCACAGGGAGATACTGTATTGTAGCCTTCTGTTTAGAGTCTATAAAATCAAATGAAAATCTGATCCTATTAATGCAGACCTTGTACACCAACTCTCTAGGAGGCTGAGGCAAAGGATCACAAACTTGAGAGTAGCTGGTGCAATATTGTGAATTAACAGAACTGTATTTCAAAGTTTTAAAATTTTATTTTAAGGAGAACAAAATCATAAAAATAAAGGTACAGAATTTTACAAATAAGATAATAAATTGACAATGGTTAATATATTTCATAGTTATCAATATAATTGCAGACACTTCATGACACAGACATGTAATTGATCCAATAATATAAGGACAAATCACTCTCTTCAATAAACAAAGAAAAATCAATAGTATAATGATCTTAGCAATCTTTTGTATACACATAAAATATTTTTCCTTTTCCCTTCCTTCTTTTATTCTTTAAATATTTTAGTAGTTCTTTACTTTTGAGCTGTTTTTATCCACTTCACAATATCTATTTTGAGTCATACTTATTTTTTCAATTTCTTACACTAGGAAGACAATAAGATGTTTACACGTGTGACTCTGATTAATTTCACATATGAATATGGACTCAAACAGTATTTGTTTGTGTTTCAAAATTTAAAAAAATTTAAAAGAGGTGAGGATGTACCTCAGTAAAACAGTTCTGAATTCAATAAAAAGGTCTAAAAGTAGAAACTAATTTGAATAAAAACAAAGAAACAAAAACATAAAAAGACAGTCTGGCTCAAGAATTCCTATTATTGCAGATAAAGCAACATTAAACTAATGCAGTATCAGAATAAAAATAGCTGGACCAAGACAGTCAACTTTGATGGAATTTAACAGGGTGCTATGAGCGAGGAAGCAGGAATATTAGGAATAGGCTATTTCATTTTCAATTTACTATAACATGTCCATAAGTTTTATATTTTGTCACAGCTCCTTTACTGTTTGTATAATTGTCCTTGCATGTATAACTGTGTCATTATACTGTAAATTCATGTGAATTGGTGAGTAAACGTAAGATAATTACTGAACTTGAATTAAAGACAATTTGAATTTCTTAGTAGATATGGAGCAGTGTGTGAAGTGTCCTGATGACCAGTATGCCACAATACAGCAAGATCACTGTCTCCAAAAGTCTGTAATTTTCCTGGCTCATGAAGACCTCATGGGGAAGATTCTTACTGGCACAGCCCTGAGTCTCACTCTTCTCACAGCTGCTGTCCTTGGGCTCTTTGTGAAGCACCAAGACACTCCCATTGTGAAGGCAAATAACCGGGCTCTCAGCTACACCCTGCTCATCTCCCTCACCTTCTGCTTCCTTTGCTCCTTGCTCTTCATTGGCCGTCCTAACACGGCCACCTGCATCCTTCAGCAGACCACATTTGCAATTGTCTTCACAGTGGCTGTTTCCACTGTCTTGACAAAAACCATTACTGTGGTGCTGGCCTTTAAGATCACTGCTCCTGGCAGAAGGATGAGGCATTTGCTAGTATCAGGTGCACCAAACTATATCATCCCCATCTGCACCCTGGTCCAACTCACTCTCTGTGGCATCTGGATGGGGACAAATCCACCTTACCTTGATACAGATGCACACTCTGAACATGGCCACATCATCATTGTGTGCAACAAGGGCTCCCTCACTGCCTTCTACTGTGTCCTGGGATACCTAGGCTCCCTGGCCCTTCTCAGCTTCACAGTTGCTTTCCTGGCCAAGAACCTGCCTGACACCTTCAATGAAGCCAAGTTCCTGACGTTCAGCATGCTTGTGTTTTGCAGTGTGTGGGTCACCTTCCTCCCTGTGTACCACAGTAGCAAGGGGAAGGTGATGGTGGCCATGGAGATCTTCTCCATCTTGGTCTCCAGTGCAGGGCTTCTGGGCTTCATCTTTGCCCCCAAGTGCTACATTATTTTGTTAAGGCCAGAGAGAAATTCTCTGCATGGATTCAGAGGTAAGATTCATTCAGGTAGGAAGAAAAATTTTTATAGCTAAAACAATTTTTTTCATAAAATACATCCTGTCTCTGGAGTAATTTTCTTCTACTTGTTCATTTACATATCATATTACAATATCTGATTGACTTCATTTATTAATGGACTTGTTTGTTTCTGTAATACACTACATATCCATAACTTTTAAAAATTATCATTTTACTTTGAATCTCAGTCTAAATTTTTTTATCTTCAAATCTGTAATAAACCATTTTAGCTGTACTTAACTTTGATTTAGTTTCTCAACTTTATTTTGAACAACACTTGTACTGCTCAATTTTCATTCACTGTTAATGTGGAAGTCTTTGTCAGAAGATCACAACATTTCAAAATTTCCTCCTGGTTTCTGGTAAAGATGGTGGATAGATAAGAGCAGAATACAGAGGCTCCCTGAGACAGACAACTGAAATGTGGAAATAAAACATTGTGGGGAGTTCTGCAGGGAGGGAGATGGATCCTCTTGACCCAGGAAGAAACTAAAGCAAAAACAACCAGTTAAACATGCAGTCCAGGGGCTACTAATGAGGCAGCTAAGATTCTGTGCTCTTGCACACCTGAATTCCCTCTGCTTCAACTTACTGGAATCACAGTCACACTGAAGTGCAGTTGCACTTAAGTTGGAGATGGGTGAGCCCAGTGGAGAACAGAGCCAACAAGGGACCTACATTGACCTGCGGTGAATGCCCTTCTACAGGAAAAGGACACCAATGGGATGACATTTTGGAATCAGGCAGGACTGGCAAGAACAAGGAACAGCACTGACTTCGGTGAGTTGTTCTGTTCCCAGACCAGATTGGTGGTATATGCTTGGCCTGGTCCCAGGCTGAGACCCAATAATTGTCTCAAACCAATTCTCTATGCATGGTGCACACTAATTCAGTGAAGGCCTCAGCAGCTTGACTGACCTGGAGAGGCCAGCACACATCACCCTTGTTTGTGCCTCAATATCACAATGGAGTTGGCAGGATTACCTAGCCAGTGTGCTTCAGAAGAACCAAAACAAACAAGGAATATATGAAACAAGTTCAAAGATATTACCTGGAAATAAAAAACTTGATTGAAAGCTGGCAAAACTGCTTGGAAGAAACTAAGGATACATTATCTAAACTGGAAGACAAATTTGCAATATGTGATCATGAAGTGAAAAATTTCTTAAAAATAACAAGGAAACAGGCAGTAAAAATACAAAGGCTAGAAGATGACAAGAATATTTATAACTTAAGAATAAAGAATGTGAATGAAGAAGCAGGGGTACAAACAAAGGATCTGCAAAGGCTATTCACAGAAATAATTAAGGAAAATTTCCCAAGCATAGGAAAAGTAAATGATATTCAGATGTATGAGTCATACAGAACTCCAGCCACCTACAAAGACAGATCACCTATAAAGGAAAGCCTGTCAGAACATAGCAGACTTCTCAGCACAAATAGAGAACTCAAGAAGAGCATGACGTGGAGTATCCCAGATCCTAAACGATAATGAATTTAAACTTAGATTGATGTATCCTGCAAAATTGTCCTTAAATATGGATGGAGAAATAAGGTACTTCTATGACAAAGAACACCTGAAGAACTTCACGATCACCAAGCCAACCTTGCAAGGAATACAGAAAGACAGTTTAGATACACTTAGGAAAAAACCACTAAGCAAACAGACAAATAGAACAGAAAGATAAAGATGCAACAGCAGAAAGATAACATGTCAACATAAACCAACATATAACAGTTATAACCATTAATGCAAATGGACTCAATGCACCAATTAAAAGAAACAGACTGGCAGAATGGATCAAGAAATAAAATCCAGCTATATGCTGTCTACAAGAAACTCATCCAACCCAAAAGGATACTCACAGACTAAAAGTCAAAGGATGAAAAACAATATTTCATGCAATAGGAATCCCCACACACAAAAACCGGGGGTAGCTATTCTGTTTGTAGACAATGTGAACTCCAAACCAAAAATGATGAGAAGAGATAAAGAAGGTCATTAGATACTTGTTAGGGGAAAAATTCAAGAGGAATAGATAACTATCTTAAATATATATTCACCAAATTCCAAAGAACCCAGTTATATAAAACAAGTATTAACAGAAATAAAAAACCAAATTAGCAGTAACACAATTATAACAGGAGACCTTAACACACCATTGACACCAAGGGACAGGTCAACCAAATAGAAAATCAGCAAAGAAATAACAGAGCTGAATCACACCTATAAACAAATGGACTTGATAGACATATTCAGAGGGTTCCATCCAATAACATCAGAATACACTTTCTTCTCAGCAGTACATGGATCATTCTCAAAAATAGACCATATAGAAGCTCATAGAACATATTTAAATAAATGCAAAAGAGTTGAAATTATCCCTTGCATGTTATTTAACCATAGCACCATGAAATTAGAAATTAATGATAAAAGAAACTGCAAAAATCCCACAAACATTTGTAAACTAAATAACACACTATTGACTAATCAGTTGGTCACCATGGACATCAAAGAGGAAATTAAATAATAATTACAAGCAAATTGAAATACAAATAGTTCTTACTGGAATCTATGGGATGCAATGAAAGCTGTCCTCAGATGAAAATTTATTGCACTGAATTCCCATATAAGGAAAATAGAATGAATACAAATAAACAACCTGATGTTACACCTCAAACATCTAGAAAAAGAAGAGCAATTCAAGCCCAAAGTCAAAATAAGAGAGGGGAACATATACAAATCCAAGCCGAAATTAATGCAACAGAGACTAAGAAAACAACCCAAAGAATCAATGAATCAAAGAGTTGGTTCTTCGAAACAATAAATAAACTTGACAAGGCACTAGCCAACCTTATTACAAAAAGGGAAGTAAAGCTCAAATTCCTGCAATAAGGAATGAAAAAGGTGAAATCACTACAGACTCTGTAGAAATAGAGAAGGTCATCAACACCTATTTTGAAAACCTCTACTCTCATATTTTTGATAACACAGAAGAAATAGAAAGATTCCTAGAAACATATGAAGTACTAAACCTAGACCAAGAAGTCATAAAACTGCTGAATAACCCAATCTCTATTAATGAAACTGAAAAATTAATTAAGTCCTTAACTGCAAAGAAGAGCCCAGGCCCAGCCAGATTCACTGCAGAATTCTACAAGATACACAAAGAAGGCTGACACTCCTCAAATTCTTCAATGAAATTGAAAGGGAAGCAATCCTACATAAGTCGTTCCTGGAAGCAAAATTATTCTGGTACCAAAACCTGAGAAAGATTCAACTAAAAAAGAGAACTACAGGCCAATCTCCCTAATGAACACAGATGCAAAAATCCTCAATAGAATATTGGCAAATAGGATGCCGCAAATCATCAAGAAAATTATACTCCATGACCTAGTGTGACTCATCCCAGGCATGCAGGGATAGTTGAACATATGTATGTCAATAAATGTAATCCACGATATCAATAAAGCCAAAAGTAAGAATCACAAAAGTAAGAAACACCTTTTCTTAAGGTCCAACATTCATTCATCCTAAACCTTAGAGAAAATTGGAATAGATGGTCTTTACCTCAATATAATAAAGGCCATCTATGACAAACCAACAGCCAATATCATACTAAATGGCCAAAAATTGAAGGCCTTTACTTCAAAATCAGGCACAAGACGAGGATGTCTCTTATCACTGCTCCTATTGATATAGCACTGGAAATCCTAGCCAGAGCAATTAGACAAGAGAGAGAAATAAATGGGGTAAAGATAGGAAAAGAAGAAGTTAAATTATCATTATTTGCAGATGTTATAATACTCTACATAGAAGACCACCAAAACTCCATTGAAAGACTCTTAGATATAACAAATAAATTCAGCAAAGTAGCTGGATACAAAATCAGTACTCAAAAATGAAAGCATTCGTATACACTAGCAAGAGGATCACAGAGAAAAATAAGAGAAGCCACAAACTTAACACTAGCTACCAAAAAAATGAAATATTTAAGAATTACTCTCAAGAAAGAAGTGAAAGACCTATACAAGGAAAATTATAATACATTGAAAAAAGAAATTCAAGAGGGTCTCAGAAATTGGAAGGACAACCCTTGCTAATGGGTAGGAAGAATAAATATAGTGAAAATGGCCATTCTCCCAAAACTGTTATACAGATTCAGTGAAATCCCAATAAAAATACCATCAACATACCTCATAGATCTCAAGAAACCACTCCTAAAATTCATCTGGAGCGAGAAGAGCCCTAGAATAGCAAAGGTAGTCTAAGCAGCTAAGGCAAGGCAGAAGGCATCACAATCCCTGACTTGAAGTTTTACTTAAAAGCAACTGTAGTAAAATCAACATGGTACTTGAATCAAAACAGAGCTGAAGATCTATGGAACAGATTAGAAGATACAACTACAAATACACTCAAACCACCTTATCTTTGGTAAAGGGGCCAAACTTGTTCACTGGAAGAACGACAGTCTCTTTAGTAAAAGGGGTTGAAAAAATGACTCTTCATATGCCGAAAACTAAGACTAGACCCATGCCTATCACAATGAAATTAAAATCTAAATGGATGAAAGATCAGAATATTAAAATAGAAACACTAAATCTATTGCAAGGCAAAATTGGTGAAAACCTTGAACACATAGGTTTAGGTAGAGAGTTCATGAAAAGAACTCAAACCACATGGGAAATACTTCCCAGAATCAATAACTTGGGATCACCTCTTATTAAAAAGTTTCTGCATGCCAAAAGAACTATTTTCAAGATGATAATATGTAACCTATTAACAGGTGATTTCTTACTGTTATGTTTTTTTTTTTGTAGTTCTGTATTACGTGTACCCTTACACCGCTTTGTTTTGTTTTGTGTTTTTCTCTTTTTCCTCTTAAATAAAATTTAAAAAAAAAAGAAATCTCCAGCATAGTGAAAAGAAAATCCATAAACCGGGAAAAAATCTTAATGAACTGTCCCTCAGACAAAGGACTTCTCTCTAAAACATACAAAGAATTTTAAAAAA